TTTTTTATGGATTATTCGATATCCCATCTCGCAACATCCATCGACTTGGAACTGTATTTAAGATCACGGCTTTCAAGGTATGTTCCATGATCACCATCTCTATGCGCAACCATACCTTATAACCATAAGTGATCTAGGGATTTTATCTTAAGTGCAATTATAAGATAAATGCTTTCTCTTAAGATAAAGAAATGCCTTATTCATAATATAATTCCAATAGACTGTATTTACAAGTAGAATACGTCCAATTAGATTGGAACGCCGGGTACCCTACTCTAACAGTTATAGCCACAACAGGCTACATTATAAATCGATTTTCACACTTGAAAAGTTTCAACAAACACATGGTATAAATGATATCACTCATTGGCTAGAGTAATCCACAAGTAAGTAGAACATTACCTTCAACTCATCTCCAGCAATATTTGAAATCGACGTCCCCCCCGTACTTCGTGTTCCCGGTCTCACCATCGACAGGGACAACATCGAGAGGTGGGTATTCTTCGATTGCAGTCCCATCTTCGAGCCATTAACCTCACCACTCTCAACGTCACTACTCTGTTTCCTCATCTTACAAATAGCAATAAGTTTGAGCAGCAAACTGAAATAAACGGTAGATAAGAAAAAAAACAACAACAATAAAAAAACATAATGAAATCATATACAAACATCAAATTAACCCTCAAAAAACTATATAAATAAACATCAAATTAACACTAAAAAACAACTTAATTTTTTTTTTTTCCAGAAATTAACACGCATAAATTAGCATGCAAGCAAATAGAAAAAATCAGAATAGGACCCATCAAAAAAATTGGAAATGCAGCCCTTCACTTTTTCCAACCTTCGAATCACCACTTTCATCTCTCGTCTCCTTGACGCTCGTTCATAACGCCATCTCTTTGTTATTCACTAGCTCAAGCTCCTGTTTAGTACTAAATATAAAATTCTGACTCAAATATGTCAAAAAAAGGAAGAAGAAGAAATCGAATCTGAGGACTGCAAATGATGAAATTAATCACCAATTCTCGAAACTCGTTGCTCAAATGGTCTAACTCCTGGGTGATGGCCTGAAGTACTCTGCTCTTCGAAGAGAATTGTGTGAGGCTCAATTCTTAGGTCCAAGGCCATCAATGGACATAATAATGAGAACTAGAATATGTTAGGGAAAATCCTGTGTGAAGTATATTTATCGTTTACACAAAAGGCAGAACATTTCAAAGACATCGCGTCTACTGGGCAGCTAGTAAAGTTAATGTGCTTTCAAAAGGGAAGGTTCAAAGGGTAACGTCTACCTATCCTATGCATGTTTCAACTGTCGGGCCATAACATTATTTTTCAATTTCATTCATGTGGGGGATTGTTGGCAAATTGTGAATGAAATTTATAACATAAAGGTTAAATTTTGAAACCGTGTCTTTCATCTCAAAACTTGTAACTTGTTGCATGTTGCAAGATTAATCTTTAACTTAACTTTATTAAATTTTTGAGTTAAATAGATTAATTAATGAAAGTGCAAATTTTGAGTTTAAAGGATTAATTAATGAAAGTGCCTTATCTTAGCCTATATAAGGGGCTTGTCTTCTTTGAGAAGAATGACACACGAGAGTGAAAAACACAAGAGAAGAAAAACACAATATTTTTAATGGTTTTTTCTCCATTTTTAAGTGTTTTGGTACAGGCATAATTTTAGTTCGTCAGAGTTGTTTCGCTTTTTCTGTTGTATCCTTGGAAACAGACGCTCATACGGAGCAAATTTGTTTTAAGGACACTATGTTCTCACAGGCCTCGGTATTATATATTATAACCATCTTATTTTATTTTCCCGATAAAATTCCCTACAATGAGATGGTTAAATATCTAGCCGACATGTTATTGAATAATTGATATGTCATCAACTGTTAAGAATGTCAAGAATCAATACATTTATATTTCTAATCTTGGAGGAATCTCATGCACAATGTTTTGTACACTATCTGGAAGTGAAGGTCAGCTACTGTGAGATTCCACCAACATTATGTAATTTATTTTATTGGTGGTTATTGGTAGACTTGTTAAAACGGGCGGCGTGGCGGGCCAGCCCGCAGCCCGCCAAAACACGCCATTTGGCGGGACGGGGCGGGCCGGCCCTCCATCTTAGTGGGCCTCTACATGGCCAGCTCGGCCGACCCCGCCATGGGCTGCAGGCTGGCCCGCTGTTTTTTTTTAAAAATAAAACTAAAATTTTAAGCTAAGCACATGCTACAGCTTACAGCTTTTCCCTTTTTCTGCTTTTCCAGCGGACCACTTTCAATTTTTTTTCATTTCTTTCTCTTTTTTTTTTCTCTCTTTCCCAACCAGCCCAACCCACTCTTTCATTTTTCTCTCATCTTCTCCTTTTCGAGCACGTATCCCTCCTTACCTCCATGGTCAAAATAGATCACATATTTCTCCATAGTCATAATAGATCTAGTGAGAGAAGCTTCAAATCAATTCGGCGACCTCCCTTCACTTTGAATCCAAATTCAACCACGAATCCTATGTTCCGTCATATGCCGAAGCTTTGAATGGGCCACACTGACACTGAGCTCGTCGCCGACTCGCGGGGCCATCGCCTGAAATCTGCAGCAAGGACGAGAGAGATGCCTTTGTTTTGGGTTCAAGCCTTCAAGGAGAAGTGGTCTTGGGTGAATTCGAAATTTCGAATGAATATTTTGAGGTCGACTCAATGGGATTGTGATTTGCGAGTGGTCTTTTGAGTGAATTTGAGTTTGGCCCTTGTAATTTGCGACTGAGATCTGTAATTCTGTATACATATTTAAATATATATATTTTTTTTTAATTTTGTGGCGGACTAGCCCGCGGCCCCCTAGGCCTGCCTTGCCGAAGCCCGCGGTCCGCACGGGCTGGCCCGTTTAGGCCCACTCTCTAGTGGGCCACTTATATCACAGCCCGGCCCGCGGGTCTCAGCTCGTTTTGACAAGTCTAGTTATTGAGTACATTTTTAACCTTGAAATTTTCGGATAATGTCTTACCGATTCAAATATTTGTTTGGGGAACAGTGCATTAGCTTTGCCTCGGGCATGTAAATAGATTTTTATTTTGCTCAACATTCAAATAAATTATGAATTGCTGATGAACAATTTCATTTGAAAAGTTGGAGTATGAAATATGGGTGGCCTTATGCTCAAATTCTTTACTTGTGCTCTTTTTGTTTTTGTATATGCTCAGGTTATAACTATTTATTGTTAGTTCATGTAATCATGTTATGTTTGTGTCAATGCTAGCAGACTTCTTCCATTTGTTATGAATCTTATGTTTGAGGAACATGAAAGCACATTCCGTTTAGGATATGAAAAAAATGATGCTAAAACAAGAAATGGACCGAATGTGCTTGGCATAAATGGAGTCTTCTAGTGATAAGATATGAATTATGATTTTTTTTTTTCTCCAAAACAATAGTAAATGTGAACCTTGGTTATAAAATATGAGGTTTTGAGGGAAAATACTATAGTCTCCGTCACAGAATGATTCCGTGAGGGTTATTAGGCTTTAAATATACATGTAAGTTAGTTATTGTAGATAATGCATAGTTAAAAACTCTCACGAAATCATTCCGTGACGGGATTGTAGTCTTCTCCGGTTTTGGGATAAGAAATATATATATAATTTTTATGAGTAACATGTTAGATCTATTTTGGGATTAAACATGTGTAATTGATACATTGGGTCATTATATTGTTTAGCCAAATTAAGTGATCAAATTATTGTACATTGGCTAAGGAACTTAATTTAGATTGTGGAATGATTAAATGTGGACACCCGGTAATATTATTATTTGGTGACGTAACAAATAATAATATTACACTTAAGGACCTAATTAACAAATAATTTAGGTCAAAATAATTAATGGGTGGAGTCCCCAAAAGCCGTGAAAGTACGAAGGGGCCCTTGGGATTCTATTAGGTTTACGAAAGAAACCGTCGCCCCACTACGTTCTTCATACAGTTTTCACTTACGTCAGAGGAGAAGAGATCTGGTTCACGGCCTTTTGGAAGAACTCCAAATCCAATCCCAAAATCCCAATTCAATTCCAATGAGATCATGAATCCATCAGGTACGCTTCCGCTCTTCGGTATGATTCTCGATTGTTCAATATGAATGCTCCTGAGGAAATCGATTTATTTCGAATAAAGATAAATCCAATTCTATCAATTGGTATCAAAGCATCTTCATATTGGATATTGGGGAATCAATTTAATTGGAATCCGTGAAATCCAGTTTTTATGCTGTGAAATAATTCGCGTGCAGTTTCGTTAGGATACATGTTTCGGTTTTTGTTTAATGTGTTTCCAATTTTTGGAGAATCCATCAGTTTACGTAATTTGAGTGCATTCAGGCTCCAACTCTCATATTCAGATTATTGGGTCAATTGTTTAATATGTAGAATTCGGAATTCTGATTATGGTGGCCCTCAAATAATGAATTATTCATTCAATTGGATAGATATATTGTTCTGCCTTGAAATGATTTAATTGGATTCAACATGATTGTGATTTATTTATTTCTGGAAACACTTGAAGTCAAATACTAGACCTTTGATTAATATTTCTTTGTAGGGATGGCAATGGGCCCCCAAAACCCGAAACCCGATGGGTAAAAACCCCATTAGGAGCCGGGTATGGCTAAAATTTGGCCCCATGGGTCTGTTAATGGGGAAAATGTCCCCCCATCGGGTCTAGCGGGGATGGGTCCGTTCCCCCTCCCCCCATACCCGTTAAACCATGGGTATAATGCACCCAATATAATTTGGCCCAATATATGTTTTGGCCAAGCCCAAAACTCAACAGGCAGCACTACTAAACCTAGATATATGAGATGCAATCTCATCCTCTTGCTCTCCCAGTCCCACGCCTCCGCCCACCACGCACACTCGCAGTCGCTCTCGCTCTCTCGCAGCTCCACTCCACTCCACGCCGGCAGCTCCTGCGTGCGACCGGCGGCTCCACCGCTCCACCAAGATGGCTGGTTCCGCTTCCGCGGCCGCGCTGGCGCCGTCGAGCCCGCAGGCCGCAACGGGAGAAGGCGAGCAGAACTCCACCTCGAGGCCGGCGGTCAAGTCACCGACGCCGCCGCTGCAGATCCAGCCGGGAACGCTGTGTCCTCACCGAAAATGCCAACTTCGTCTCGCGTGGGGTGAGTATTTCCATTTCCCCTCTTCTTTATCTGTTGTGGTGCTTTGCTTCCTCCTCCCCATACTATGGTTTGTACGAGTCCATCAAGCACGATTAGATTACAGTAGCGACGAGGGGAGTTTGGACAGTGAGGATTGATTGATTGAGGTAGTTGTGTGCTTGTTATTTCCACCTTATTTTACATGGTAGAATTGGTAATTTGTATGTTTCTCTTGAATTTTTGTTGCTGATGACGATTTTCACTCATCTTCCTATTTTAATTTTTTTTCTTTTTATTTTTTGTGCTTTGTTCACAAGCTTTTAGTGATAATGGTAACCATTTCTTTCTTTCTTTTTTTATTTTTTTTTTGCTGTTTATTTTCCGTGGTGTTCATGATCAGAAGCTTATGGACATGGATCATAGTTTTAGTTTGTTCTTTTCTCAAGGCTTTTGAACTCAAATTGTAAACTAAACAAAGTATTACGGAATTGCTGGTGTAATTTTGAAGGGACGCCGCCGCTGCCGTCGCTGCAAAAGGTAAAGCAATGGTTGGAAAGGGCCGCCGTCCACTGCAGGCACGCATAAACAGCAAACGAAGCCGTCTCGCCATTGAAGGAGCACCTGCACCGAAGACTCCTCCTTCCTCCATCCTTCAGAAGTTTAAATCAATGGGGTTTGATTCGATTCACGCTAACCCCTCTGTACTTTGCATTTTTTTAATTGTTGAGTGATAGATACGGATGGATACAAATGATAAATACAAATGGTTATCTATGAGCGTATTTACCATGTGTACTACTCTGGAAGCGAAGCACGGTCTTTTACTGTCCATGTGTCCTTACTTTTTTTTTTTAGCTTTGCCTTTACTAATGTTTCTATTATTTATGTTGTACTCCAGAGTAGGGAGTTCAAGTATGGCTAGTGGGAGTAGCAGCTTGCCGCAATCACCAAGTTCTGTAGCTACTGAACCTGAATCTGTCAACGATTCAGAGCCGATTGAAATAAAAGATGATGAGCCAGAAGAAGAGATGAATGCTGGTTCTAAAAGGAAGCTAACCTCTGCTGTTTGGAAAGAGTTCAAGAGAGTGAAATTTTTGGGGGAGATGAAGGCAAAATGCATGCACTGTGACAAGAAGCTTTCAGCAAAATCATCAAGTGGAACAAAACACCTTCATGATCATCTGGCTTGCTGTCCGTATCGAAGGTGCAAACTCTTAGGGAAGAACAAGATTTTTATTCAACCGTCTCTTAGGTTTGCCTCCAAGGAGTCAGGACAGTTATCTGTTGAAAATTACTCATTTGATCCAGAAGTGGCTAGAAGAGAACTTGCTGGCATGATAATACTCCATGAGTACCCTCTATCTTTGGTGGACCATACCGGCTTTAGGAGGTTTGTGAGTGCCCTTCAGCCTTTATTCAAGATGGTGACTAGGAACACAATCAGGTGAGATTATACAGTTGTGAACTTACCGTGCAATTTATTTTTCACAAAGTGTCTAATTCTGTGTTGTATTGCCTAATTTCAGGAAAGACATTATGGATGCATATATGGAAGAAAAGAAGAAGGCCGTAGAGTACATGGCTGCAACTAAGTCTAGAGTGGGCATCACTACAGACATGTGGACCTCTGAGAATAAAAAAAGAGGTTACATGGCTGTAACAACCCATTTCATTGATGACTCTTGGACACTTAGAAACATTTTAATGAGGTAAAATGCTTGCATTGCTACTGTTAATTGATTTAGTTATGTCTGCGCGTTTCTTTCTGCAATATGTGGTGATCTGATTGCATGTGTTTATTTCTGTATTTAGGTTCATATATGTGCCTGCCCCCCATACTGCTGATATTATTTCTGACAAGCTGTATGATGCTTTGGTTGAATGGAATGTTGATGAGAAGATCTCCACCGTGACTATGGACAATTGCAGCACAAATGATGCGGTAATTCCTCTACTGATCAACAAGATTGGTTCCGATAAACTGATGTTAAATGGTCAAATATTGCATATGCGGTGTTGTGCCCATATTCTGAACTTGATTGTGAGGGATGGTTTAGATGTGATACAACCTGCAATTGCAAAGATTCGTGATAGTGTAGCCTTTTGGACAGCCACACCTAAAAGAGTAGAAAAATTTGAGGAAATTGCAAAGTATGTGAAAGTGCCAACTGATAACAAATTAGGACTTGATTGCAAAACAAGGTGGAATTCTACATACAAGATGCTTAGTGTTGCTTTACCTTACGAGGCTGCTTTTAGCCGTGCAACACGTGTAGAGAAGCTATATGATTTTGCTCTAAGTAAGGAAGATTGGACTTTTGCTAGAGAGGTGGTAGGGAGGCTCAAAATGTTTGATGACATCACTGCTCTGTTTTCTGGAACTAGTTATGTTACTGCCAATGTCCAGCTCTTTAAGATTTGTGAGGCTAAGACAAATATTATGAACTGGTCTGCATGTGGGATTCCTATTATAGAAGAAATGTCAACTAAAATGATTGAAAAGTTTGATAAGTATTGGAAGGACATTCAACGGCCGATGGGAATAGCTACTGTTCTTGATCCCCGGTTCAAAACTGATTATCTCCTTGGATTCTTTGAGTGTCTGTTTGGTCATAGTGAATCTTGTCTTGAGAAAGTTGAAGCTGTCAAGGCCTCCCTATGTGACTTGATGATTGAGTATCAGTTGGACGATGAAGAAGATAATACAGAATCATCAACTCCAGCACTTGACCATTCAGGCTTCTTATCCACGATCAGTGCACGTGTTGCAACTAGAAGGCCAATGGGTGCAAGGTTCAGAACTGAGCTAGACAGGTACTTGGATGATGAGTTGGTTCCAATAGAATCTGATAATTTCAACATACTAGATTGGTGGAAGGTGGCTGGGACAAGGTATTCTACAATGAGAAAGATAGCGCGTGATATATTTGCCATTCCAGTCAGCACAGTTGCATCAGAGTCTGCGTTTAGCACAAGTGGGCGAGTTCTTAGTGAGCATCGTAGCCGACTTACTCCGGAGATCTTGGAGGCACTTATGTGTTCACAAGATTGGATGCGGCGCAAGTATATAGGTAAATATTCTGCACAACTTATTTTCATTCAGCAGTTTTATGTTTGCCTAATAATTATTGCAATTCTGTTTTGCAGATGCTAATAATGTGGACAAGCCTGAAACCTTTTGGAGCTGCCTTCAGGAGATCCAAGAAGGGATGCAGGTGATGTTATGTAAAAATGGACAATTATGTTTGCTACCTTCAATAATCTTATATTGTCATATATTTAACAATGTGTACTACTTCTCTCTTTTAATCTAGAAACTTCTACTTTGACATGGCCCTGCTGTCTGCTGAGATGACCTCCAACTCCAAGCCTTCCACAACACTCCAGTTTGCTCGCAATTCTAATATATATTAAGTAATTTAGTGTCATGAACTATTAGTTGTCATGTTGAACTTGTAATCCTTGCCATTGGAGATGCCCTTGATGAACTTGTAATCCTTGGCATTGGATTAGCACTTCATGGTAGTTGATCATTTAGATGAACTCATTAAGCTGCATGTGAACAATGATCTTTATCTATGATTACCTTATGGTTGTGTTATTGTGTTACTTTTATTGAGTGAAATCGGGTCTGTGTCACCCGATGGGTACCCGTCACCCACACGGGTGCCGAGTCTGGGGGAAATCTAGACCCGAGACGGGTGATGGGGGCGGGTGACGGGGGTATTTTTCCTAATGGGGGCGGGTGACGGGGGGAGTCCCCACAGCGGGTTTGTCACCCATTGCCATCCCTATTTCTTTGGTTGATTTGGAATCTGAGCATGATTTATTTGCTCTGACATTGAATTTGATTATTTGATCTGAAATTAAAATTGGACTCTTGAACAAAATAAAATTCCTGCATTCGGAATACGTATAAGTTTGCAGGTTTTGGCAATTAGCCTGGGTCTGGTTGTTAAATATTTTAGGACCCATTTAAAGGCCGCTCGCCGATATTGAGTTAAATATTCGGCAGTTCAAGATTAATTTAAATGGATTAATTGAAATAAAATGTTGCCAAAATGACCTCTTTTATGTAGATTAACCCATTTAAATACTAAAGTTTGTTGTATTTTTGTAATTCATGCGTGTGTTGATTAACCCAAAGGTGAACTGACACATGGCCGAATTGCAAACATACCTGTGATAATAAATTTGTGACAATTATATGGTTTTCATGTGAATAATAATTCTATCCAAAGATAGTTTTATTGTTTGACAGGATTTATTGTCAAGATTTGATTATTACAACAAGAGTACCGCTTACAATTAATATTACTATCCAAAGATTTGATATTAATGTTGTGCTTGGTATCTTACTACGAATTTAAACCATTTTTGGTTTAATTGATTAACTATGAATAATAATGTGAGTATCTTTGTTTATTATTTTCTTCAGGTTCTTCATCTATGGTATCTACTAACTATCCAGTCCCCACTTTATCTGGGGACAACTTTAAGAACTGGAAAGAATCAATTTTGATTCATTTGGGATGTATAGATCTAGACTTGGCATTAAGGATAGACCAACCTGCTTCTCTTACGGAGAACAGCACTACTGAGGAAAAACAGTGCTTTGAGAAGTGGGAAAGGTCTAATTGCCTAAGTCTTATGATCATAAAGAAAAGCATTCCAGAAATCTTTCGAGGAACGATATCTGATGATATCACTCTGGCTAAAGAGTTCCTTGTCGAGATTGAAAAGCGCTTTACTAAAAGCGATAAGACGGAAATGAGTACTCTTTTAAAGACACTCATTACCATGAGGTATCTCGGCAAAGGCAACATAAGGGAGTACATCCTCAAGATGTCCAATATTGCTTCTAAGTTGAGAGCACTAAAGTTAGACCTTTCGGAGGACATGCTTGTTCTATTGGTCCTGCTCTCTCTTCCTACTCAATACGATCAGTTTAAGGTCAGTTACAACTGCCAAAAGGAGAAGTGGACTCTTAATGAGCTCATTTCTCACTGTGTTGAGGAAGAAGAAAGAATGAAGCATAATCGGGCTGAGGAGGTGCATGTGATTGGTACCTCGAAAGATGCTGGTGGCTTTAAAAGAAAGCATAAGGCCGTTAAGGTTGAGACTGCTAAGGGTCCAGATCCAAAGGTTAAACCGGAGGAGATTTTGTGCTTCTTCTGCAAGAAACCTGGACATTTAAAGAAAGATTGTGCTAAGTACTCCGCCTGGTGCGTGAAGAAATGTACATTCTTTAATCTGGTTTGTTCTGAAGTTAATTTAACTTCAGTACCTCAAAACACTTGGTGGTTAGACTCTGGTTCAACTACTAATATCAGTGTTTCAATGCAGGGTTGCCTAAGCCACCAAAAACCAACTGATGCTGAAAGACGCATTTACTTTGGAAATGGGAGTCGGTGGATGTGGAAGCTGTGGGCATATTTAAATTATTGTTAAGTACTGGACATTTTGTTGAATTGAAAGACACATTTGTTATACCGTCTTTTAGACGGAATTTGGTTTCTGTTTCTTATTTGGACAAATCTGGTTATTATTGTTCATTTAGAAACAATAAGGTTGTGTTATCTTTTAATTCTGATGTGGTTGGTTTCGGTACTTTTATGGAAAATGATAATTTATATATGCTCAACACTATAACTTCCTATAATGAAACCCTGAATGTGGAATCAAGAGGTACTAAGCGAAAATTAAATGAATCAAGTGTGCTTTGGCATAAACGTTTGGGACATATTTCGAGAAATAGAGTTGAAAGACTCATTAAGGATGGAATTCTTGATTCTATTAATTTCTCGGATTTTGATGTTTGTGTCAATTGCATTAAAGGTAAACAAACCCATGTAAAGAGGATAGGTGCTTATCGAGCTACGGAAGTCTTAGAGTTGATACATACAGATATTTGTGGGCCATTTCCTACACCTTCCTGGAATGGTCAACAATACTTTGTATCATTCATAGACGATTATTCTCGATATGGTTATCTATACCTCATAAGGGAAAAATCTGAGGCATTGGACATGTTCAAAGCATTTAAGGCTGAAGTTGAAAATCAACTCAGCAAATGCATTAAGATCGTCAGATCTGACCGTGGAGGTGAATATTACGGCAGAAATGATGGATCTGGTGAACAACGTCCGGGCCCATTTGCTGACTTCCTTAAGGAGTGTGGAATTGTCCCTCAGTACACTATGCCAGGTTCGCCTAGCATGAATGGTGTTGCTGAAAGACGTAATCGCACATTAAAGGATATGGTTCGAAGTATGATTTGCCAATCTACTTTACCACGATCCTTATGGGGGGAGGCACTAAAGACTGCAGTCTACATCCTTAATCGAGTATCAACTAAGGCGACTGCTAAAACACCCTATGAATTATGGACTGGGCGCAAGCCTAGCTTACGCCATTTTAGGGTGTGGGGTTGTCTAGCTGAGGCGAGGCCTTATAGGCCAAATGAACCAATGCTAGCACCTCGTACGATGAGCAGTCATTTCATTGGTTACTCGGAACGGTCAAAGGAGTATAAATTTTATGATCCCACATCAAGAAATATTTTTGAGACGGGCACTGCCACGTTCTTTGAGGATGTTGAGTTTGAGGGGAGAAATACAGTTTCTGACTTTACTTTTGAGGATCAAGAAATCACCAAAGTGGTTAACCCGATCCCTCAAGAGCAAATAGTCATTCCAGCTCCCATACAGTTTCAAGATACAATTGAGGAGCCTGTTCATTTTGAACTTGAACCTCAACATGTACCTATAGAGCAGACTTAACAAACTCAAGAACATACAGTTCAAGAGCCAACGCTTCTGCGTAGATCCAATAGAGAACGGAGAAATGCCATTCCAGATGATTATTTGGTATTTCTTCAAGAAAATGAGGATGTGGGTGGCTTGAATGAGGATGATCCGATCAATCTCAAACAAGTCATGAAGGATCCCAACTCAAATAAATGGATCGAAGCGATGCGTGAAGAGTATAAGTCGATGCAAGACAATAAGGTTTGGGAACTTGTCCCATTGCCAGAAGGTGCAAAACCCGTTGGTTGCAAATGGATTTTTAAAACCAAACGGGATGCAAATGGTAATGTGGAGAGGTATAAAGCACGTCTTGTAGCTAAAGGCTATACTCAAAGGGAAGGGATTGACTATAAAGAGACTTTTTCTCCCGTTTCTTCGAAGGACTCTTTTAGAACAATCATGGCTCTAGTGGCACATTTTAACTTGGAGCTTCATCAGATGGATGTAAAGACGGCGTTTCTCAATGGTAACATTGATGAAACGATCTATATGGTACAACCAGAAAGCTTTGAGGTCGATGACCCGAAGAAAATGGTTTGTAAATTAAGAAAATCCATCTATGGGCTCAAACAAGCGTCTCGACAGTGGTATCACAAATTTCATCAAGTAATTATCTCGTATGGTTTTGAGATGAATGTCGTTGATGATTGTGTTTATCACAAGTTCAGTGGGAGTAAATTTATTTTTCTGGTTTTGTATGTGGATGACATTCTGCTTGCTACAAACGATGTGTGCATGTTGCACAAAACTAAGAAATTTCTTTCGAGTAACTTCGAGATGAAAGATCTTGGTGAAGCATCTTTTGTATTAGGAATCCAGATACACCGAAAGCGATCTCGAGGTATTCTAGGATTATCACAAAAGTGCTATATCGATAAAGTACTTGAGAGATTTGGCATGCAGAACAGCAAACCAGGAAATACCCCTGTGGCTAAAGGAGACAAATTTAGCCTAAGTCAATGCCCAAAGGGAAATTTGGAAATCCAGGAAATGCAAAAGGTTCCTTAAGCCTCGGCAGTTGGGAGCCTAATGTATGCTCAAGTATGTACGCGTCCGGATATTGCGTATATAGTTGGTGTGTTAGGTAGATACCTTAGTAATCCTGGATTGAATCACTGGAAAGCAGCCAAAAGGGTGATGAGATACCTTAAGAGAACTAAGGATTATATGCTCACATATAGGATATCAGACCATTTGGAGATCGTTGGATATTCTGACTCCGATTTTGCTGGGTGCCAAGACAGTAGGAAATCTACGTCTGGGTACTTATTTATGTTGGCTGGTGGTGCCATTTCCTGGCGTAGTGCTAAACAAACACTTGTTACCACTTCCACTATGGAAGCTGAGTTTGTGGCGTGTTTTGAGGCATCACACCAGGGAATCTGGTTAAGGAATTTTGTCACAAGGCTGCGAATCATTCCGGAGGTTGAAAGACCTATCAAGATCTTTTGTGACAATAAATCAGCCGTTCTGTACTCCAACAACAATAGGAGCTCGTCTAAGTCAAAGCATATTGACATTAAGTTCCTAGCTGTGAAGGAGAGGGTACAAAGTGGTCAAATTTCCATCGAACACTTAGGGACAAAATCTATGTTAGCAGATCCCCTAACTAAAGGTGTAACACCTATGGTATTTCACGAGCATACTGCTCATATGGGTGTGTTATATATTCAAGAAGCTTCACTCTAGTGGGAGCATTTGCTATTTTTGTCATATTGTTCGATGATATGTAAAGTACTTATTCTGATCAGCAATAAAGTTTTGGTTCATGACACTTTGTACATTATGTTTTGATATTAACGATCTCATTAAGTTTGGACTAGTTGAAAATTGACGTGTGCTGATCACATTCATGTAATTTTCATGCCACATGTTCCACAGTTTGATCTATGTCATTTAGTCATGATGATATATGTGATTATTGATAGTTTAGTTGTGTCTATACGGCGAAAACTGCATTAGTCCTATATTGTTGTGATTAATGGACCAGATTGTTCAAGTTCTGTAATAATGGCCATATTTTGAGCTCATAAGGTGTAATGTATCATCAGGACACATATTTAATCCAGTGGAAGATTGTTAGATCTATTTTGGGATTAAACATGTGTAATTGATACATTGGGTCATTATATTGTTTAGCCAAATTAAGTGATCAAATTATTGTACATTGGCTAAGGAACTTAATTTAGATTGTGGAATGATTAAATGTGGACACCCGGTAATATTATTATTTGGTGACGTAACAAATAATAATATTACACTTAAGGACCTAATTAACAAATAATTTAGGTCAAAATAATTAATGGGTAGAGTCCCAAAAAGCCGTGAAAATACAAAGGGGCCCTTGGGATTCTTTATTAGGTTTACGAAAGAAACCGTTGCCCCACTACGTTCTTCATACAGTTTTCTCTTACGTCAGAGGAGAAGAGATCTGGTTCACGGCCTTTTGGAAGAACTCCAAATCCAATCCCAAAATCCCAATTTAATTCCAATGAGATCATGAATCCATCAGGTACGCTTCCGCTCTTCGGTATTATTCTCGATTGTTCAATATGAATGCTCCTGGGATTAAATCGATTTATTTCTAATAAAGATAAATCCAATTCTATCATAACACATTTTTTTTTAATAACAGGAAATATTTTTTAATCTAAAAGACTATGAAAATAATGGAGGAATAACCTCTTTTCTTACATTATCCTTTGTTTTTCAGCAGCACATCCATAGACAATTAAATTTGTTAAAGCCAATCACCCTTGCCAACCCCTCGATATAAATAGAAATCTCGTGTACACCACCATCAACATCTCGATTCTTCCCCTTGAAAAGGCTCTCGTTCCGCCAGCACCATAATTTCCACACAACCACACCAAACGTACACGCCCAGCGGTCGTCTCCTATGCGCGACGGGAATACCAGGTTTGAAACGTACAGAGCCCGTAAGCTTGGGGAGACGGGCCGGTCGAGAACATCTCTTTGGGTAAGTTGGGAACGTCCTCCATCGGGTTGAATTAAAATTAACTCGGATGGTTCCTTTACTCCGTCGTCCGGAATGGGGAGTGCAGGGAGCTTGCTCCGCGATGATCAAGGGCACTGCCTGGGTGGATTTACAATGAACATAGGTATATGCTCGATCATGGCGGCAAAATTATGGGGTTTTTTTTGGGGACTATCGCTAGCATGGGAGCTGGGGTATAAACAAGTTGAAGCAGAAGTTGACAATGCAAGTGTGGTGGCCTTTGCTACATCACTTGATGATGTCCCGGGCGTGCATTTAAGTCTAGTGTCGGGGATCAAGGAACTCTTGAATCGACCATGGGAGGTGAAGGTGAAACACGTATTCCGTGAAGCGAATTATGCGGCCGATTATTTGGCTTCCTTCGCAGCGGAGGGTCCCTTGGGGTACCGGTCTTTCAATGCTCCGCTGGAGGGTATTCGTCAATGGCTACAACACGATATTATTGGAGTGACCCATACACGAAGCGTCCGCAACGTTACTCATTAAACGTTTAGCCTCTTCTTTTGTACCAAAAAAATGTTTTGTTAAAGCCAAACACGGTGTTATGAAACACAAGACGAGCTTCTGGCTCTGAGGTTTCGGACTCAAACCCGGGGCAGCCCGATTCCCAACGGTTCACTCTCCCCATCCAAAACCCTTTCGATTGGGTTGTTTGTGTAAGAGGGATAACCCGATTCTAATTTTGTAGTTCTCACTTATCTCCGCCATGTCCCTCCTCCTCCGTTCCCTACCGGCGGTGGCCCACCGCGCCAAATTCTCACTTCCGCCGCACCTTCCTGTCCTCCTCCTCACCTTCCGCCGACCGAAATTAAATCCATCCAATCTCCTCATAACTCGCGCATTTTCCTCCATCCATGCCTCCGACTCTGAAACTCTCAGTGTCCCAACTCCCAAGCAGCCGCTCCCATCCTCGGCCGATGCCAGCTCGAATGCCCTAGAGTGGGTGAGTCGAACTGATTTCTGCGGAGAATTGGCCGAACCGGACGTTGGTAGACGGGTTCGCCTCTGCGGGTGGGTGGCGCTCCACCGGGTTCACGGCGGTCTCACCTTCCTCAGTCTTCGTGACCAAACTGGAATTGTTCAGGTTCGTTCTATCTTTTCCTAAGTTTTTTTATTATCTGTCCAAGTATTTATTATCTTCTTTGATACTGAATTATTGTGGTTGATAATACTCGGTTGATGAATCAGGTTACTACACTTCCGGATGAGTTTCCTGAAGCTCATTCTGTTGTGAACGATTTGAGGCTTGAGTATGTGATCGCTGTGGAAGGTGTGGTTCGTCAGCGTCCAGTTGAGTCCATTAATAAGAAAATGAAGACGGGCCTCATAGAGGTGAGCCTTCGATGTGCATTTCGTAAATTACGTTTACATTCTTAAGAATATGCTCATTTTAGTTGACTGGTTAGAAAAATGATCATAATGGTTGAAAATTTTGACTCGTTTCAAGTTACGCACGTAAAGTAGATTAATCAGGTATTAGATGAAGTATCTAAGGAACATAATAGGCAATAATAGGGGGAAAAAAAGCGAAGAGGATTGCTTTATCTGAGTATTTGCTCTTCATTATCCTTGGCTTGATCAAAGGACTGTTACTTCAACATTCGTAAGTTACCTTTTCTGGTTGTCCACGCAGGTTGCTGCAGAGCATGTCCATGTGTTGAATGCAGTGAGATCTAAGTTACCTTTTCTGGTTACTACAGCAGATGATGCAAAAGATTATACAAAAGAAGAAATTAGATTGAGGTAACCTAAATGTATCTGTCTCTCGATAAAGTTGGAATTCTCGTTTTTCATGGTGCCCCCTTATGCTTACTTGCTCAATTGATTCTATTTATGTTATTTTATTCTTATTTTTATTTTTTTATTTTGATGAATTACTTTGAAATGTGTGATCATATGTTTGTGCTTGAACCTCCGTTTGTTATTTTTGGGATTCATCGTTTGGATGACTGAAGAGATATTCTTATAAGTTCATACTATCACGATATGTGAATGTTTAATTTGGCCAGCTGAAATGTTCTGAATGAAACCTACTTTGGTTTTTTATCTTTATTCTTCCTCTTTCATGATCCTAAAATTGATTGGAGTTACTTGGAATTGTTCAAAACTGAAGTAATTTGATCTTCTGGACCTTGGAATTGTAATTTTCTAAGAAATGGTCTTGTTTCTTACTGTTCATAGAGATTTTATTTCTTATATTATTTCATTGACTGCATGTAGTCTTAATTAACATTCTAATGACTCCAACTTCTCTTCTATGTTAATTATATGACTTGTGAAAAGCAGCAGTTTTATTTGGAAGTTATTAGCCACAACTTTAGTTATTCGTAATATATGCTCTGCACGAGAAAAGACTACTCTGATTTAAAGGGTTGCATATACTAACAACTTCTCTTTCTCAGAGAATTTGATCTTTCATTTACTTAAACTAACCAAATACCAACAGAACCCTTTATGTGGAAGTAATTAACCATAACTTTGTAGTTATTCATAATATATGCTCTGCACAAGAAAAGACGGCTACTCTGATTGGAAAGGCTGCATATACTATCAATTTTCTGTTTGCCAGAGAATTGGAGCTTTTATTCACGCAGACTAACAAAATATCTTCACTTATCAGATACCGATGCTTGGATTTGCGGCGTGTTCATATGAATGCAAATATAATGTTGCGGCATAGAGTGGTGAAACTCATTCGCAGATACCTTGAGGACATTCATGGTTTTGTGGAGGTGTTAACTTTGTTGATTTCCAGTTTATTTATAATAATTTGTGGAGTAAAATAAGTTATTTTTCAAAGAAATTGCACATGTCAAAGCTTGGTTCCTTGTGTTGATCCTGACCTTTTAATGTTTGTAAGGTAGATTGAAACTCCAGTTCTATCTAGATCTACTCCGGAAGGTGCAAGGGATTATCTAGTGCCTTCAAGAATTCAGGTACATTTTACTAGTTTTAGTTAACTGTGAACTGTTGGAAGATGG